TGGTGCTTAGGTGTCACATTAGTGGTACAAACGTCAACAAACGGATATGATCAACCCATGCACTGTGATGGGTTGATGATGTTAGAAAAGAAAACGACTGTTAGCTTTATTTGCCTATTAAGAATCTTCTTGTTGGCATCAGTGGCACACATGAAAGACTCATTTACAACATTTCTTGCAGCAATTATGGATGCTCCTAATTTTTCTTATCTCTTGTCTAAGCTGGAGGATGCATGCATAATGCCTAATCTAGCTTGGACATGAAGAGCAAGCGTTGAAGCTGTACTTCACATACCTTTACTAATAGCAATGTCACCTATGTCCAAGGCCTTCAGCAGGAGATGGCAGGAAGAAGAGGGCATGTCTTTCACTCCAGGCAATGCAAGCAGCCTTATATAGACGTAAAAAAAAATCTTGACCAACAAGACTTGAGGTGCCCTTTGATGTTGTTACACTGAACAGTGAGACTGGCATCAATGTAAACCAAGCAAAGTTATCACCTCCCATTGCCCTTTGTTTTTCTCTAATTTCTTCTCAAGCAACACCGCCCATGGGGATGTCGACATCCAGGATGCAGACAGAGAATGGTCCAGACTGTCTTCTCATCCTCTCTATAAACTTAACTCTGCAGCTTGGAAGATCGATAACAGGCAAAAATTGGGAGCAAAGACCAAAGAGCGAGACCACTTGATGAGCTCAGCTGGTTAGGTTTCCGTGCCCATGAAGGAGTTTGACAATATCATCCATCTGCCCACCTAACTAGCATGAAGGTTAATGTGAATAATATGATGGATTTATATCCTAACAATAGGCCTACTAATGCTTTACAAAATTTGTTGACCATATAGATGAAGTCATAACTGTTCACCCAAAAAATGATAATGATACTATACACATGAAGGTTTTGTTCACCCATATGGCAAACTTGTATGTGGAACTACAAGTGAAATATCAGATAATGATGGCCCAATGCAATACTTCAGAATGATATCATCCTACTTTCCTGTGTGCTGTAGGGTTTTTTATTTTGTTTTGGCAGTTGATTGTATTTCATGGACAGCAGAGATGCATATACTTTTTTTATGCGTCTCCAAGTTTCAGCATTTTGCCCACAGGTGTCCCATCTGTAGCAAACTGCAAGGTAGTCAGCAGCAAATATATATTTGATAAAGTAGATGTAGTCACACCATATTACGTAACAGCAGGCACAAGCCACCAAGAAATGAACCTTTTTTCTTCTCTGATGATGAAAACTAGAGTAATATACTAATAATGGACTGGCAGACAGTCGACGACACTCGTATAAGATGGAGAGTGATAGAAACAAATGAATCCAGGTTGGTATGGGTGAACCAGTCAAAAATCATACTTTTTTCATCCTTTTTCTTGTAAAGAATGAAGATAAGTCGACTTACTAAAGTTAATGAGAGTAAAAAAAACGTCTAGAAATGGCACCTGTGAAACAAATGCAGGTGCATAGTCCTATATACATCATCCATTCCAAAATTATAAGACGTTTTGACTTTTCTAGATATATTACTTTTACTATGTATTAAACATAGTGTATATCTAAGTACATATAAAAAATTATGTATCTAGAAAAGTCAAAATGTCTTGTAATTTAGAATAGAGGAAGTATACAAGATAATTTCATGATGGTCCAGCAGACAGTTAAATCCCTACACTCTCAAAAGCAGCCCAGAATTCTCCTGAAGCTTGACATTACCAAAGCTTTTGACTCAGTGTCTTGGGCCTTCCTTTTGAAGGTGCTTAGAAAATTGGGTTTCGGTTCTTGCTGGTGTGACATGATTTGTGGCCTCTTATCATCTTCATCCACCCAAGTTCTCTTGAATGGCATCCCAGGAGAAGGTATTTTGCACAGAAGGGGACTGAGATAGGGAGATCCGCTATCTCCTATGTTCTTTATTCTTGTTATAGATATGTTAAATCAGATGTTCACAAGGGCTTATGAAGTTGGGCTGCTACAGCCTTTATCCAGTAGGCCTATCCACCACAGAATCTCCTTATATGCTGACGATGTAACCATTTTCCTTCAGCCTAATGCAGCAGATATCAATTTGTCTTTACAGCTACTGGATTTATTTGGTGAAGCATCTGGCCTTAGGACCAATGTTCAAAAAAGTAATGTGCTACCAATCCATTGTGCTAAGGAAAATCTGGCCCTCATTCAGAATATGTTGCCCTGTGAGATGCTGGATTTCCCTTGCAAATATTTGGGTCTCCCCCTGACCATCAAGAAGCTGACTAAGGAGCAGGTCCAACCCATCATTGATAGAATTGCAGATCAGCTTCCTGGGTGGAAGGCTGATTTGATGACCCGAGCTGGTAGAGTTATTCAAGTGCAGTATGTTCTCATAGGAATCCTGATTTATGTGGCTATGGCAACAGATCTCCCACCTTGGGCTTTCAAAGCTATTGATAAGATCAGAAGTGCCTTCCTGTGGAGAGGCCGAAAAGAGGCAAAGGGTGGTCACTGTCTCATTGCCTGGCCTAAAGTGTGTCGCTCCCGAGAACTAGGTGGTCTTGGGATTGTTGATTTGAAGGCTTTGAGTATCGCCTTAAAAGCACGATGGCCGTAGTGGTTCAAGCGGAGTGAGCCCAGCAAACCGTGGGCAAATCTACCTATCCAAGTCAGTAGAGAGGTAGCTGGCCTCATCTCTGTGGCTGTAATAACTGAAGTTGGAAATGGATCCAATACACTCTTTTGGGAGGATAAATGGTTAGATGGCAAAAGAATCTAGGACATCACACCTCTGGTATATGCACTGGTTCCTAAAAGCTCAAGTAGACGTACTGTGTTGAAAGCACTAACTGAGGAAAAATGGACAGAGGACATACAAGGTGAGATCGGTTCAACTACCTTGATTCAGTATCTTGAACTTTGGAATATCCTGAATGGTGTGGAGCTAAATGAGGAAATTCCTGATAAGCACATCTAGAGGCTATCTACTTCAGGAAAATATACAGCAAAGAGCCTATGATACGTTTTTTCAGGGTGCAATCTTCTTTGAACCTTATGAGAGAATCTGGAAATCCTGCCCCCCCCCCTAATGCAAATTTTTCATGTGGCTTGTCGCTCATAATAGATGTTGGACAACAGACAGATTAGCAAAGAGGGGGCTCCCTCATCCAGATCAGTGCCTTCTATGTGATCAAGAGGAGGAGGACATTCAACATCTTCTTGTGGGCTGTGTATTCTTAAGAGACTTTTGGTTCTCCCTCCTGTCGCGCTTTGGTTTTGCATCAATTGCTCCTCAACCTTCTGACCAATCCTTTGATAATTGGTGGAGAAAAGTTGATAGTGCTGCTAGTGGAGATTATAGGTTGGGTCTGAATTCCCTAGTCATTTTGGAAGCCTGGAGCATCTGGCGACATAGAAATGATTGTGTTTTTAATGGGCCAACCCCAAATGTTAACTTGCCTCTGGCTCTGGCTAGGGAAGAGGCTCATTGGTGGAGCCTAGCAGGAGCCAAGGGAATTTCCCCGCTCTCTGCTGGAGGATTAGTCAAATGGACTGTTGTAGGGTCGTCTTTTTGTCTTTCTTAACCGGTGATCCAGTGTCTATGTAGTGGTGTGGGGTGGGGGGGGTTTCGGGTCTATGTGTGACTCTCTTTTTCTTCTATTAATACAATGATACACAGCTCTCCTGCGTGTTCGAGAAAAAAAATGACATAGTCTAATTAAATTTGCAAATCAATAATTCTTCGTGCTGCAAAGTCATTGAAACCTGGTGTTCTATTCTGGCAGGGTCATTGCAGAAGCATGTTCATTTGGTGCTGGCAGATCTGGCAGCCAGGCATACCTACATCTCCATTATCTGGTGCAAACTTTTCCATGGAAGATTTTTTAGCAGCTTTTAACCGTATTTCTGACAGCAATCATGCACCACAGCACCAGGATATACACAGTTCTGGCAGTGGGATTAACGAATGATGCTTCTGACCAAACAGATTGGAACCTATCAAAAGGCAAAATGCCCTCGTATCGATGACTCCAATGGAAAAGGCAGAATGATACATACAGGACGATATACACTGTTGCCAGTTGCTGCACCTGCTGCCGGCCTGCTAACCTGCAGACTTTTGGAAGTGACAAGCTGCAGAATAAAAACAGAGATCAGTTTGGGCGTGTGATGCTACTGTTACTGCTGTCAATCTGCAGAGAGAGAAAAAACAGCTACTGGACAACTTGCTGTTGAACAGAAACACTGAAGTCCCAAGCAAACACAAAACGAGTACAGAAAAATGCAAGCAGCTGGACACAGATTGAGATGAAATCGGCAACCGGTGTATACACTGAATCGATCTCAAGCCAGGTGCTACCATCTGTAGCAAACTACAAGGCAGTCAGCAGCAGATATATATTTGATAAAGTAGATGCAGTCTCACCATAGTGCGTAAACAGCAGGCATAAGCTTCAAAGAAATGAACCTTTCCTTCTCTGATGATGAAAACTAGAGTGGTAAACTAATAATGGACTGGCAGACAGTCGACGACACTACGTACAAGATGCAGGTACAGCTAATGGTGTCAAATGGAGAGTGAAAGAAACAAATGAATCCTGGTTGGTACGGTTGAACCAATAAAAATCTTTTTTTTCCCCATCCTTTTCTCGTAAAGAATGAAGAATGAGTCCATTTAAGTTACGAAGTCTAAAAACTCCTTTTCTTGTAAAGTTAAGGAGTCTAAAAACGTCTGGAAATGGCACCGGGAAACAAATGCAGATGTATACATATATGCTATTGAAAATGGCATGTCTAATTATATTTGCAAATCAGTAATTCTTCATGCTGCAAGGCTGTTCAAACCTGGTGCTATATCCTGGCAAAGCCATTGCAAAAGCATGTTCATTTGGTGCTGGCAGATCTGGTAGCCAGGCATACCTCCATCTCCATATCATCTGGTGCAAACTTTTCCATGGAAGATTATTTTTAGCAGCTCTTAACCATATTTCTGACAGTAATCATGCACCAGGATATTCTAGAACAGAGCTCTGGCATTGGGTTTATGGAATGATGCTTCTGACCAAACAGATCGGAACCTATGCAAAGGCAAAATGCCCTTGTATCAGTAACTCCAATGGTAAAAGCACAATGATACATACAGGACGATATGATTCATCTGATAAAATAAAGCTGCCTTACAGCTTGCTTTTGCATAAAATCGCCTGGTAACAGAACCCAGAACAATTCATGTGTTAAAAGTTGTACATTAATTCACAGCTTGATGCAAGTGAATATTGTTTTACTGCAAACTCAGTGATCAACATTTTTGCCCTCTGATTGAGGAATCCATAGGCAGCGTTCTACTTCGCACTGAACTAATCCCATAGTACCAAAATTACACTGGGGTTGGGAAATAACATTACAACTCAGAACCATTTTGATACAATGCTCGTTCTAAGATGCTCCTTAATCTACACTGTCCTGGTGAGTCTCTTCTGGCTGACATGGTGAACAAAGATCACATGGTATGTGCACCCAAGGAGCCTCTCAAAAGTGAGCCAAACTGTATACTAGAGTCCATGAAAGCTGCAAGCAACAAAAAGGAAAATAAAATGTCAATGACTAAATCAAGATTGGTCCTTTCCTCTTGAAGTAGAATAGAATAGTTACCAGGAAAAGGGTGAACGAAGCGAAAAGACCCTCCTGAAGTAGTGCCCCATGGCCTCCATATTCCTCCTCATCAATCTTCAACAGGTATGTGTAGTACCAATAGATAATGCCAGTCGAGATGGTCAGAAATCTGTAAAAGAGGCCGCATTATGTGTCATATTAGAATACAACCAGAGTAAAAGTTCACATGGTGAGGTCAAATAAAGTTATAAAGATCAAACCCAAAAGTCGCCATAATTTTTAGCAATGGATAATGACATCTCGGTCATGGAAACAAATTTGTTTTGCGTATCAACCAGCATGTCATTTGCTTAGCATTCATCTGAAACTTAGCACTTAGCAGGAAATCAACCATGGTTCTATTCTGCAAGGCTTTTCCTGTTTGCTAAGGCCACCTTAAAAGTATTTGTACACTCAGTCCTGACCAAGATGCATTATGGAAAACCATGTCCTCCTACTTACAGCCCGAAGATAGTCTAGAGTGCGATAAACTCCATCAAAGAAGACAGAGAAAGCCTGAACTGAATCGTTGAAGTAGACAGCTACATACCACCAGAGCTGTGTCACGGCAGTACCATTTAGCAGGAACTAGAATTCTGGGCATCGAAAATAGCCCAAGTGCACTGTTATACAGAGGTAGAAACTCTCAAATTTAGCTACTGCCCAGCTAATCAGATCCCTAACTCACAAGTAAACGCAAGGGGTGGCAGCAGATCTGACCGCACATGTGACTAGTAGCAGTGATGAAAACGTCCCTGAACCGACAAACAAAATTGAGGAACCAATCACTCTCCTGAATTCCAATCACACAAACAATATCAATTCAACAGTGGCCATGCCCATCGCAATGTCCCAGAGCTAGAAAATCGATATGATATCTATCTAATCTAATTATAACAAATTACAAAGTGTATGTACGTACAAAAGGGCTTAGTTTCGCTTATGTGCGCGTAGGTGAAGCTACAGATCTACACACGGCAAGGCTGGAGTTTGACAAGATGGGAGAGAGAGAGAGAGAGAGAGAGAGAGAGAGAGAGGTGTTAGGAGGGGGGACTGACAGTGCGATCCAGACGGCGCCGACGAGGGGGACGGCTCCCCAGAGCAGGCCGCAGATGAGCCCCACCGCCTGGCGGATCCAGTGCACCGCGTCCAGCAGTTGGTCCTGCCACAGCCCGGCCGAGCGGAGACGAGGGCGTCAGCACGGCAGCAGCTATCGGCGCGCGTGCGGGGAAACGAGGGGCGGGGCGTACCTTGTCCCAGGAGGCCTCCGGGTCGAGGTACCTCGCGAGCTTGGAGGACAGCGCGTGGCCGCCGCCGCCGTTTGACTGCTGCGCCTGCGCGCGCGACTGCTTCGCCGACGACCTGGCCTTGGCCATCCCTCGCCCTCGCTGCCGCTCGCTGCGTGTGGGGGGAGTAGAAGTGGATGGAGCGGCGGCGGGATCCCCGAGGCGAGGCGGGGGTGTTGGGAGATGGGATCGCGGGCGGTCGCGGCGGCGGCGCACGTGGGGGAAAAAAATCGAAATCGAGGCAAACCGCAAAAGCACCTGGCTCAAAACTCAAAAGCCACCCCCACAGCCTTTGGTATTTGCGTTTATGCAAATCGGATGACCGCATTTTACCGTTTTCGTTTAAAATTACACAACTTTTGGAGTACAAACGAATTCGATACAAACAGGGCAGTTTGACTTCAAATCTGCATTCAGATTTTTTTTTCTATAAACTTTGCTGACAGCGAGTATGCACTTGGTGACGATGGATTCCGAAGAATGGCCATTATAATGGTCAGGACAAGGTACAAGTATAGAAAATAAGGTTTCCTTTGGCAACAATTTGTTCCACGAGATTTTCCACTCTCCACTCCTGCATGTCTCCCTCACCTTCTCCTTCCATGCCTCCCCGTATTCTCCTATCGCCACCTCCTACCGCCTCCCCCACTGTCATGCCCCATTGTCTTCTCTCTCACATCCATGTGGTGGAGGCCTCTCTCTTTGCGACAGTAGGAGGCGGCGAGGTCCAGCAAGAAGAGGTGAACCACCATCCCGCCTATCCAGCGCCCTCTGCTTGTGGCTCCTCGACTGCATCAATGGCCGGATCTCTGCTGCGGTCGCACATGGAACTAGAGTGAGAAGAATCCCTACCAATGGTATTTTCTGTGGGTGGGGAGCTGGTGGAGCTAAAGCGGTGGAGAGCCGATTGAGAGCACTACCAAATGGGCCCTAAAATATATAGATTTATAATGATTTTCCACCATGTCATTTTATTGATATAGGGGTGAAACATTGAATGGATATTTTCCGCCGACGTAGCTTGTTCTGCAACAGTACCTTGACCAACTCCGGGCCCAATAGAAGCAAGCCCTATGGCCAATCCAGCAGCAACAACGGAAGCGGCAGCAATTAGTGGATTCGTGGTGAGTTCCTCGTGTAAAAACAAGATAGAGAAATGGTTAAGGATACAATCAACCAAGAAACTATTACTTTCAATTTCTAAGCTCCATCCGGTAGAAGTAATTCATAAGTACAAATAAATGATAATCAAAATTGTCTAAATTACATCGAGATCTCGTTTTTAGTTTCTAATCATTAGAGGTATGAAGGTTTGGGCCCGTTCATATCCGAGCCAACATATCCAACTTCTTTTTCAGATTTGTACTATCCAAAACTGAATATTTAATATCTGATATCATATCTAATTCTGATTACTCAAAGTCAAATATCTTATATGGATCTATATTATTTTATTAGTATACCCGACTATTCGTTGACCAAACTAGACGCAAACTGTCGCGCTCGCCGCTGCCGATCCGCACGCGACAGCTTCAGGATCTTTGTAACGGTCGAGTGACACGGAACACTCCATGTGGCAAACCAACACACATAACATCCAACATCATGCCCAACTATCCAGGTTATTATGCTTACAGGAAAATACATGATTCACAGAGTTTATACAGTTTTAGTTTCTCCCTCTAGGCTCAACTCTTCAATCTCTCGCTCAAATTCTTATCGGAGTTAACTTGCAGCTCATCTTGGATTCGCCCAATCCAAGATCTACTATGCAGCGGTGAATAGAGCGCTACCTCACATCCACCGGGGCAACAATACCTGCAAAACAACTTAACGACAGCGCCATGAGTACATTTCATACTCGCAGGACTTAATTCCAACACATAGATATTTGATGGATGCAAAGAATAGGGTTAATTGGATCTGTGCCATTATAATTGTCACGTTTTTAAAGCGCGCCATTACTATTAGTCTAACTACGCCAGTGCCATTATAATTCTGCGGATGTTTGAGACACGCCACTATGTACGCCCGACGCCGTCTTGGACCCACTGTCAGGCGTACAGGAGGGAGCCATATTTCCGTATGGTCCGTTTTGCCCTCCCGCGAGATGATAAGGACGCCAATGCCCGCCTTTTGTTTGCAATCGCCATCCCCATTCCCCACTGTCTTCCCCAATCCTTAACCCTAGAACAGCGGCAACAATCCTCTGCGGTAGGCGGCGCCTCTTCTCCCCTTCCCATTGTCGTCCAGCTCTAGAGATGACGAGCGCCGCATCCTCCAGCTCGGCCTAGATGGGTGACCTCCCTAGGATCGATTGCCCCAAGTGCCACTTGAAGGTGATTAAATGCAGGAGCAAGAACAATGATGTGTACTACAAGTGCCCTAACCATTTCCCGGTATGTTGGTTGATTGGCTTTAGCTTCATCTGTGGGTTATCTGTTTTTCTTGTCAGATTGAGAAAGATTGTTTGTTCAAGCAGAATAACAGCAGCTATCCATACTACTGGTATGAGGAACCCTATATAGAATACTTGCACTGCAATCACCCTAAGTTGTTGAATCCGGGTCCTACAAAAGAAGAGAAATCAAATGCAGAAACCATTGTAGAAGAGGTCAATGGCGACCTGAAACTCTAGATGTGTCAGTTGAAGCTCTAGGTGTCTGAGATGAAGGGCCAGCTTGGTGAAGTGATGCTGAAGCTCATGGAAGCCAAGGAAGAAATCAAAGAAGAGATTGCTAAGGGAAAGTCTCTAGTAGTGTTTACTTGTGACATTAGTTAGGTGTAGGTTAGTTGTCAGTTTAGTTGGCAGTGTGTTGAACTGAATGTACTCCAGTTGACCTTGAATGTAGCTGGCTATTATTTGAACTGAAGCACTTGTGTTTGCCATGCTTTTGTTTAGTTTGTTTATGAATCTGCCTCAAATCCATCAATTTCAGTACCCAGATAGTTTGAAATCTTTTAACTTTGCTAAGGGCTTCAAAGCATCTGAAGTTTGTGAGCTCTGATGGTATGTGTGAGCATGTGAATAAAATTTAGACCAACTGTGAAGTGACTCAGTGAGGGAAATGAGCTGCAAGTTCTGAGTTATGATGTAACACCCCAGGTGTTTGTCACCAGTTAAGCAATGGGTGTGAGCTCAAACATGGCATGTTAAGTGGTGATGGAGATGTTAGGTCAAACATATGAAAATGAGCCACCACTTAAACTTGGACCATGCACCATTGCTTATATGCTGCCCTTTCTAAAAAGTATGCTTGGGAAATGCTGGATATACTTGTTTCATGTGTCTCTCCTCAATATCCCTCTATATTGATACATGGAAAAGTTTCGTGAAGTTTGGAATCAAAAAGTCACATGAAATGATAAATTATATCCTTGTTGGAATGGCCTTATTAAGTGAATGAGAACATGTGCCATCAACCAAACCTTGCAACCTTGCCCAAATGACTCCAGATGAACTCTACAACAAAAGTCATGAAAGGTTCATGTTGAGCAAATGCCAAGAAAATGCTCCAATGGGTCACAAAGGATAATTTAAGCTTTATCGTGATCCTACTTTGGTCAAAGTAGAACTATAGCTTCTGCACCTGTTTTAAAGTTGGACATTAAATAAAAGTTGAAGCTCATGTTATGTAGAAGAAACTTTGTTTTTGGAGTATACCATGGATCGGCTTGGAACCAAGTCTAGCAGTGGCTCAAAGTTGGAACCTGCTGCTGATTTCAGCACTTAGAAATATTCTAAGTCTAGAAATTCATTGACATCGGCATTGGCGTCTCGCGTTCTCCAAATTTCGTTAAGCAACTAGACTTGATCCCAAAATAAAAGTTGGAGCATACATCGGGAAGAAGAGCGTGCAAAAGGATGGCACTCGTTGGACCTTGTCTTGACCATCGATTTTTGGAGTTTGGTAATCGCTGTCAATGCATTGACACTTGCTAATTGGACGCTAATTAACTGCTGTTCCAAAGACCTAATGGATGTGACCCCTTAACCAAGTTTGTAGACCATCCTGAGTAGAGCAACTTTGCTACTGGAGCCAAGTTCGGAATCCGCACGGAATATGCCAAAAAACAGACCCCAAGTCGGGCACAGAGACGCACGCCACGTGCTCGTTGAATTGTCTACATGGCAGCCATGCAGCAGCGCACGCGCCTCATTGTTGCCGTGCGTCCGACCTCCACGCTACGCACCACCCTGCTCCCTGTGCCTCCAAATGCGAACGCCCGAGCTGCCCGAGCACTCACTCGCCTCCCCACTCTCCCTCCCTCGCTCTCTGGTGCTGCGCGCGCGCTCCGGGACACGACCGCCATGGTTGCCGCCGTGGGCTCGAGCTTGGCCGCCATTGTTCTTCCTCCTCCAAGCGCCTCGCAGCCCTGAATCCTCTGCCACCGGCTTCGCCTCCCTCTACTTGGACTCATACGCTCCTTCCCGGCTTTCCTTCGCCGCCTGTTCGCGTGGCCGTCGGTGCCGTGGCCGCCGCGGACGCCTGTGCGCGCGGCCAGGCCAACCCAGCCCGCCTCCAGCCAAATTGAGCAGCCCAGCGTGTGCGCGCGGGACCCCTGGTCCTCCCCGCCACTCCACCGCCGTCGTCGACGCCCACAGCCGTCCGAAGCCACGAGCCGGCCGCTCCCCTGCTCCACCGTCGTGAGGAAGGAGAAGGTGGACCACGCGCGGAAATAGAAGCTTCTCCAGGGGGTTAAGTGAAGAACTAGTGACTCATGTGAATAGTACTCATAAGGACCTCTTCGCTGACGTTTGATTTATATTTTCCGCAGGGTCCCCGATGTAAGATTTAGATCTCTTTTTCTTGGATTTAGGCAGAATTGAATGATCCACTTTAAAAATTCATAGTAATTCATAGGAAATTCGTAAAATAGCAAATGAGGACTTTTTGGAATCCTTGTGAAATTATCTATGCCCTAGATCTATAATATGGCATGATTTAGTTTAAAGTTTTTGCTGTAAAAATTAATTTATGCAGTTAGGTTTGTAATACTAGTTGTGTCTTGTCTTTTTTATAACTGAAGTTACTTTCCTCAAATAAATGGGAAATTTTTATGAGATGCTCATCAGGTGATTGTTGTTG